ATGCTTGGAAGTTTCATGATGCTTAATTAATGAACAGGAGTGAATTAAGTGCTTCTTCAGTGACTCCAATCCACTGATTGCACCAAAGCCACACCTGGGCTTCCTTCTACTCAATCAAGTGGACCACTCCATGCTACTCAATCAAGAAAGTTAAAAAAATTGGCAGAGTTTGCATGCTGCTGCCATATTATCTGACTGGACTCTACTTTTCCTACGCATTGCCTTGCTTATCCATGGAAAAATGCAGCAGATTGGTTAGGCAAGGAAGTTGGATGAGAAAAACTGAGGTCCTATGGTCACCTCTCCAGTTTCATGCTTTAACCTTGTTGGCTCTAAAATCCCATAAAAGGCACAAAATGGACAAAAGAAAATTATTTCTAAATAATCGTAGTGCCTGAGGCAATTGAGATTTTGTTCTGTTGACAGAACTGTTTAACAAAAAATTGGTGATACAATTATGACATATAATGCAGTTGATGTTGTATATGCTCCTCGAGGAGCACCTGCATTATACATGTTTAAACAGAAATTTATAGATAAATTTATTAGAGTAATGTATTCTTGTTTTTTTCCATCAAATATACAAAAAATGATGTTTGAAGTTTTAAAGTACCATTTAATGATAATCTCACCAGGAAATCTAGTTATTACTGCATTTTGAGAATTCAAACCTAAAGCTTGTGGTTGCGTAATATATCTTCTTTTTATAGCCCTTTTCCAATTTCAACTGATATAGTTCTATTTTCCAAGTTCAATATATTGGTTGGATGATATTCATATTTGTGTTGATGTTGATGATTTACTGTGTTTCTACGTGGTTTATTATCTTGTGATGGCTTTGCTTATTTTGCCTTCTTTCAGGGCTGCTATGTGTGCATTGTAATAGGTTATTGTGAGGGAGGTGATATGTAAGTTCTGTTTTTAAGTTAAATCTATATTTTGTAAATTCATTTTTGGTGACATTTAGATCGACTCACAGGGCTGAAGTTATAAAGAAGGCCAATGGGCATCTTTTTCCTGAGGAGGTTGTTTATATAGACAACAGTCTAGTGTACTTCTGTAAAATAAATGTTTCCTTTCTGCATATGTTTGTATGCATCCTCAATATTTTTTCTGTCAACTGCAATCAGAAGCTTTGCAAGTGGCTAGTCCAGCTCCTTATGGCACTTGATTACTTACATAAGAATCATATTCTTCACCGTGATGTTAAGGTAAGTTGTGTTGTGAATACTAATGGGTATTCTATTTATGTAATAGTAGAATAAATTTGAAGTTTATGTTTACTGAATATGCTGCAACGCTGTTTTATAGTGTTCAAACATATTTCTTACAAGAGATCAAAGCATACGTCTTGGTAAGTTCCTTCTAAGTTGATCTACTATCTTCATTATGCTGAATATTATTTTACTGATGAGTTTAAACTCAAGAAACTTTAGCTGACATGATATTTTAAAACTGTGTCATTCTTCAGGTGACTTTGGGCTTGCTAAAATTTTAAACTCAGATGATCTGGCATGTTCTGTGAGTGCAAAAGCTGCTTAAAACAATGCATTTAAAAGTTTTATATCATTGTTTATATCTGAGAGCTGTTGGTTCCTGATTCAGGTTGTTGGAACTCCTTGTTATATGTGCCCAGAACTTCTTGCGGACATACCTTATGGTTCTAAGTCTGATATCTGGTCTCTAGGTAAAGTCTCACACGCTTGGGTTACAGAGGTGCCATTTTCAGCATCCCCAAGCTAATTAGCATTTTACATAAATTTCTTAATTATCCAGGCTGCTGTATCTACGAGATGACTGCTTTAAAGCCTGCATTCAAAGCTTTTGTAAGTTTGATCAAATGTGAATGTCAATTTGCAAATAAATTGCTTTAATATTGTCATCCGTATTGACTGGGCTTTGAGATCTAGTTATATGTCAAAAGAACTTTTGACTTTGTTATCATGGACAGTGTTGTGCAATTTGATTTTGTCTGTTGTTGTACAAACTGTTCTGTCTTCTTAAATTTCTAGTAAATAATCTTTAGTCTCAAATAATTATTTGCTAAATATTTATTTCCTGTTTGTTAGCTATATTACTATTGATGACATCATGACAATTCCTTCTAGTGGTCATACAAGAGCATGTATTTTTTATTTCTTCAAATAAAAAGAAAGATGGACAAAACTTCATGTTGTGAGTCTCATGCTCTCTTGTTCAGTATAGGTAATATATCTTCTTCCAATGATATGTACTGAATTGACCTTTTACGAAATTCAATGGGAAAATTCTTTTTGCTTCGAGACATGATACGAAAACCTAGTAGGCTAGTACCATGTTATTTAGGATGCATATGGTTATGAATATGTGCCAGGATAGTGGATACAGATTAAATATACACGAGAATATTGCTTAAATTTTTCTAAACGGATAAGATATGTTATTATATCACCCTTTAGGATGTTCAATTTGATCCTGACAGTAAATTAACATATCATCCCCTTCCATCTGTTAATTTTAATAGCAATATATACTTCGAGTATTTTGATAATTAAAATTTATAAAAAATAAAAAAATTTCCAAGCCTTTGCATTTCATGTTATCTGATTTCTTCACTACCCACCTTATCCTTCATCCTTTATTTGCTGCATCAACAGTCACCCAACTTTGCATTTTTTTTCTGCATGATAGATGTAGTAAATTTTTTTAATTGGTGATCTGGATTTCCCACATCAATCTGACTGTAGCTGAAAGTAATGCATGAACTTGGACGGTTTTGTCCGATTTAAATTCTGAAAAGCATGAGTGGTGATTGTTTGATATTTTTATTTAATTTTAAAATGTATCATCCAATTTACGTTATATTTTTTTGTTACATTGTCTCTTACCTTGAGATTTACTTATGGTTTATTGTTATACAGGATATGCAGGCTTTGATAAACAAAATTAACAAGTCCATAGTGGCTCCTTTACCAAGTTCATACTCTGGTGCATTGTATGCCCTGTTTATTCTTTTCTTTTTCTTTTTCCAAATATTAGATCAGAGGATTGCGATCGTGAGATAACTTGATTACTGTCTGCAGTAGGGGACTTATTAGAAGCATGCTAAGAAAAAGCCCGGAACATAGGCCAAGTGTACGTACATAGATTAGCAGTATATTCAAGTTCTGAAAGCTTCTTTAGTATTTATGATTCTGTATGTAGTTTCATTACCATAGTACTTTTGAGACCAATTCATGTGACTGTTCATGTCAACAGGCTGCAGAACTACTCAAGCATCCACATCTTCAACCTTATGTGCTCCAAGTCAATCTAAAGTCTAGCCCTACACGGAATATGCTTCCTATCCACCAAGTTACAAGCAATCACATCAGAAAAATTAGATTTCAAGATGATGAAGACAATTTCATGTACAGGAACAGGGAGAAAAGAAATTCTTTAGGCAATGAGAGGATCTTGAATCTGAACAAGACTGTGGAGCAGGACTCCCTAAGTTCAACTCAGACTATTAAAGATTTCCCCATTTATCTGAACCAAAGAATAAAGCATCTTTCACTTGGTAGCAGTCAAGTTGGGGAGAGTGTTATTGACAAAGGAATCCATGAGAAGCGCTCAAGTACCCTGAAGACCCCAAGATATGCTCCTAAAACCTTCACAACTCCGATGATGCAAGTAGAGTCCTCAAAGGCATTGCACCCTGGACCAAAGAGTGAACCGGTATGACCATAAAAACTCCTGCTCATATGTTTATTAATCATTAAACATAATGACCATATTCTTCTTTACTAGAATATTTTCACCTTTAGCTTTTAAATATAGAATATTCTTTTCTTATCCTGATTGTAGAAACTTCTGTTTTTGCACAGAAGATGCACATCAAATCAAATACTTATTTTTCTGTATATACTGCCTCAGTATGCACATATGTTTGTAGTGTTTCTTCTAATGGCCACACATGAAAGATCTCTTAGCAACAATAAATTGCATTAACATGTTATTCTCATGGGGGAATGTAACAACGTGAGTTTTATGGTTGCTATTCTAGGAATTATAAGATTTAACATTTTTATTGTTATTTGCTCAATTTTGATGAAAGATTTTCTTTTCCTCATTCTATTTAGATTAAGTTCACTATCAGCAGTTGTGGTTACATATCAGCTCTCTGTAATCTGTTTAGTGTTTTTGCAAGCTGAAATGCTTTAAATCACATGACCAAATTTCTTGGATAAATGTGTCATCCTAGTATTTAAATTGCACAATTTGTAGTTATACAATTTTATTTATTAACTGTACTCACAACAGCTAATTATACTTCTGACGCAGCTTGCATCACGAACTCCAGCAGATAGAACTGGTCAGACCACTCGAAGAGCATCTCTTCCTTTGCTTACATCTGAAACCCGTCCTAAATGCAATCTCAACATTCTCCATCGAGTGGAATCCCCTGATGTGTCAGTCAACTCCCCTCGAATAGACAGAATTGCAGAGTTCCCATTAGCCTCATCTGAAGATCCCCTTTTCTCTTTCCATAAGCTCTCTTCAGCTCATGGCTCTTTCTCAGCCACTCCGAACTCTGGAGACCGTTCCATCACCAAAGACAAATGTACCATCCAAATCTTCCGAACTGAAGGTGACAATGGGAGTGATTCTTCTGATCGAAATCCTACAGCTGCAGATGCTTCAAGCCGAGGATCATCAGAATCAAGGCAACGGAGGTTTGACACCTCATCTTACCAGCAGCGTGCAGAGGCCTTAGAGGGATTGCTCGAATTCAGTGCTCAGTTGCTGCAACAGGAGAGATATGAAGAGTTAGGGGTCTTATTGAAGCCATTTGGTCCTGAGAAGGTCTCCCCTCGAGAAACTGCTATTTGGTTAACAAAGAGCTTTAAAGAAACTATACCATAACTCCCTGTCTTTGCCCTCATGTACCATACTTTTGACACTCAGGTCTCAAAATTCCTGCATCGGTTTTGTGATGTGAGATAGCTCTAGCTCAATAGGCTGACAATTTAGGTTGAGATTAGCTGCTGATTCTCTTCGAACAATGCATGTATTACGGATTTCAATATTATCATGGCCTTTTTACCATCATTTCCTGTTGACAAAGTTCATTTTGTCTTGAGTCTTCAAAAGTTTCAGGTGCAGTTGCTTGGGAGACCATGGAGCTTGGATCCTGATATCCCTTTCCTGAGTTAATAGAGGATGAGTCACCTGTAAAAACTGAGAAGATGGTACAAGCTAAGAAGATGTTTTGATGGTGCAGGCTGATATAATTGTCATCACTGTGCCTGCTGTTATAAGCCCTTGCCCTGATATAATTGTGATTTATTATGAGAATCCAGTGTGCCTGCTGAGTCTCCATGTCCTGATGTCTCTGCACATCCTAACTAATGTTTGAGAATATAGCAAGTTGATCTACTGAGCTGAGCTCAAATATAGCATATTTGAGAATATAGATTTTGTTGCTTGTGTGCAAACAAAATGTAACTTGGTCCCTTCTTGTTCATGTGAATTGTCTGTTCTAATACCTCACTCATCAAATGTGCAATAGTGTGATGACAGTGGTGGAGCAGCTGTTTTGCTGGACAAGTAAAATTCTTTTTCAGACAGTAAAACAACATCAACAAAATATATAAGGCCATTAAATTAGTTCTCTCTCTCTCTCTCTCTCTCTCTCTCTCTCTATATATATATATATATATATATATATATATATATATATATATATATATGTAATTCAAAATCTTCAATTAAGGAAATCAAATGATCTGAACTTATTTGACTCAATCTAGGAGAAGACAAATTCTTTGTCAGCATGATCTAAGGATCATGTTACCCCAACCTCTTATTGTCTGGACTGCATCACACATTCACTGTCTCATGCACCAACCATGTGGTCAAAAGAAGTTTTTTAGATTTGACTACCTTTGTATACACCACTAGCCTTAGAAATAATTCAAACATGCACATACACAATAGTTTTGTCCATGCCAAATCAAAAGCCAAGACTTTATTGTCTTGTGTTTAATGTTCACCACCTTTGATCAGCCATCATCCAGTCTCTGCATATTGCATGATAACAAAGTTTTGCGGTTGACCAGTTAGGTCAATGTTCCACCCTGGAGCACATGCACTCCAAAGTCTTTATCTACAACCCTACTTTTTTTGTTTGTATAGGGATGGATATTGTATTGCTGCATTAGTTACCTTCAACATTGTTTATGTAACCTCTGCAAAAATATTTGTCCTCCATCAGAACAATGGCTTTTATCCAACCATTTGTCCTACAAACTGCAACTCTAATCCTATGATACTGAAACAATGTAAACCTAAAACCTAGTTTGTCCCTCTCTCTGTAACTTGTTGTGGATTCCCTACTTTATGTGGTTCAAAGAACTTTGAGTTCAAATGCATGGAGTGGAGCTAATTCTACTGGTATTCAACCAGTTCTATAGATTTCACAGCTAGTATGAGGTGTATCATATGTGCCAAGTTCCTTAGGGTTTATCTCCATGTCCTTTGTTCTCTTCTTTATGCTTTTGCACATATCTTGTTTTATTCATTCATGTAGATGAAGTTGTGAAGCAGCTTCATGCATGCATGGATGTACTCTTTTGAGTTTCTGACACATTCTTCTGATATAAAAGCATCCTTTTTTAGGGGTCCTGAATCTTCTATGTATGTATTTGTATGAGCTTAATTTTCACATGGTTATGTTAAATGTAGCCTCTTCAATTCTTCTGCATGCCATCATCATCTCTGTAAATGCTCACAATATGATACATGTGCAATGACTCCCATTCTTCACACAAACTATGCTCAAAATATGTCAAAAATTGAGTTAATTTAGGTTAAATTTTTACATAAATTAAAAAATAAATATAGAAATCATATTAGAAGTTATCTATAAAAATCAGTCAATTACATATTGAATGTATATACATATATGCAACTTTGCCTTCTAATTTCTCTTTCAAGGGTAATACTTTCTCTACGTCTTTTCCGCGCACCCGTCTTACATACCTGTCGTATATGGGACGAAGTGCTGAGTCACATGGGTCCCACATGAGGTGCGAGCCACTGGTCGAATCAAAACCAGTCAACCAATCGAGCACCGCAACAATATTTTTGTTCTTCCGGAAGGCATCGAGAAAGATCGAGGAGAGCTGGCCCTTCACGCATCGTTCAAAAGCCAAAAGGAGATCTTTCTAATAGATATTGCTCGATCCGTCGATGCCATGGAGGGATGTGAAGCCCAAGGGGGAGGCGTAGGAGGAGGAGACACGGTGGACCCTTAGAGATCCGCTGCTGTCCCTGTTCCTGACCTCGATTTCTGCGTCCATTTGGATTTGTACGACTAGGAACAGGTGCGATCAGCTATTTGACGATTGGAATGCAGGCGAACCGGGCGGAAGCGACCCCCGTAATCGGTCGAAGCGCCCCTGCGCCGTCGGACACCAGAGGGAAGCACCGGATCTCGGCGGAGGTCAAGCGATTGGAGCAAGAATCTCGATCCCTGGAAGTAAACTCCCTCTCCCTCGCTCCCTCCCTCCCTCTCTCCCTACCTATTTTTGGCCTCCAATTCCCTAGTGGAAAAGAAATATACCGAAGAAAATTAAAAGGACAGAATTTTTATCCTTTTTTAAGCGTTTTGGATAACTGCAGAGGCCTTTTGTTCCACTTTCCGTTTAAAGGTTCTTTTTGGAGTTGGGATCGGGTGACTGTGGATGTTATCCCGTGGTTCTGTGTGAGCGCACTGGAAAGATTTGATCATGGTATCTATTTTACTTCTCAAGATCATTGCTTTAGAGTTCACAATTTTGGTTAGCAAATTTGAGACCCTCGAACCAAAAGCGGTCGATTATCTGCAAACACACACGCACTGATGCAGAAAAGAATTCTAATTTTGTGCTGGTAAGACAATTTGGTTTTGTTTGATTGGAGCTCTGAACCTACATTTTGGTGATTTATTTGAATGCTGCTCTGCACTGCAATCATCATTTAATATGTAATAGTACACGAATAGGATCTTTTCTTGAAAATCTTCAGAATTGGTTCAGATGAGCTTGAAAATGAGTTCTCATGTTTTTAGTAGTATTATTTTGGTTTGATGTTCCACAAGTGCCACTGGAAGGTTGCATGTGGTTTATCAGATTTTTCTTACATGAAATGTTATGAGTGATCTATGAAGATGAGCAAACAATAGTAGTCTCCACCAAAGAAAATTAACATCAATGAATCCTTCAATTACACTTCATTACAAGGAAGGAAATGCTTATATGTGGGAATGAGTTAAATTAACCAACCTATACATTTGTAAGATATATAGTTGAGGAATCATTCAAGTCCATGATTCGATGTATGCACATTGCAGATGTATAGTTGAGGCATCAGCCACGTCCATGGTGTTGCTATTTATTAATCACCATTTAATTCCAAAGGGCAAGGGAATGCTATCATTAACTAAACCATATGTTATATATGTGAGATCTTGCACCACAATTGACATCTATTCGATACTTGTTCATCATAATATGATGAAATTTCTTAATCATCTTTGTGCCTTACAATTAAATAATTGCTTGGAAAGTTTGCTACTACTTTTAAGCTGTCAAATGGACAAAATATGTGTTTTCCGGGTTGCTTAATTCATTCTAACCAAGCTAACCCTGTTTGTTCACCCGGTTGCTAAACTGCCTGACCTCTTGAGTGCATGCATATATGTTTTACTTGGATTTAAATTTTTTTTTTTTTTATTTGGTCAAGTTCGGGCTAAATTTGGTTGCATGAGTCTTCAAGCTATGTTACTTTATGTTTCACCTTTATATTTTTCAGTTGACAGCAGATTGGTTCCTCCAAAGGGTTCAAGTCATATTATGCTTGTTGGTCAGTTTTGTGCTAGACCTAGATGTCTTATTAGTACAATATCCTGATGAGAAGAGTAGGACTTAATTGTAAGTTGTTTGCATGGATTATGCCATTGCAAAAGGAGTACAATTTTCATGGTTGAAGGCTGTTAAATCTATCTATATTTCTTCTGTTTCTCAAGTTGTTACTTCTCTCTTTTATTTCCAGTTGTGAAAATCTATTCACTGGAAGCCACCATTTTGTATTAGTCTAAACTAGACAGACAAAAATTGAGGGCATCCACCTTCTTTGTATGATGTCTGGAAAGTTACCTAAATAATTTTGCACCAGTCACAAATGAAGTTACAGACTTTTATGCTGGTTTTGCCTTTTCAAACTGTTTTGAAGTTGATAGATCTCTCAGAGTCCACTGTGCGAGGAAAAACCGTTAGTTATGAAGACATCTTTAAGTTGAGCCATAATAAAGGAATCGAAAAACCCAAATGTGCTACTTCTGTCCTAATCAACTTGATGGCTTCACAAAAATTCTGCTAGTATGATTATATTTACTTGATTAGTAGTTAAATTCTCTCGAGTACCATTAGTTGTAATTGATAAACATCACTATGATGCATCTTTAGATTAGGTTACTATTCCATCCATGAACATATGTAACATAGATAGTACTACATGTCATTAGTTATATGCATGGCGGATAAAGGCTACTATGTTGAATTTACATTGGCATTATAGTCTATCAATGACACAAACTTTGCATAAAGTAGAAGAACATCTCGTCACCAGTTAGAAATTATGTTACAAGCAAATTACTTGAATACGATATGCTTGTGTTAAATGTACCAATGTTCGAATCTGATTTCGTCTAGTTTTCCAAGTTTGTGAGAACACCTGGGTCCTGTTAATGGTTTATTTCTCCCTCCATTCACCTATTTTATTCATATCGGCATTGGAATAGTCCAAAAATTCACAGAAATGCACCTTTTTCTCTTGAATGTATTTTCCTGCTTCTTAACCCTTTTACTGAAATTGATTCTGAACAGGAAGAGCTCCAACAGCTTGAGAAAACAGAGAAACTGTCTGCTGGACTGCAAGAGTATGTATGAAAATGCAATTCAAATTGAATATTGTGTAGATCATATTACTTTCTTAGTAACTGATGTCATAGTTTGATTTCCAAGCAGATTTCTGCTCAAAGTAGAGAGCATTCCAGACCCTCTACTCCCAGAGTAATCAACAAATCTATCTCTCGTATCTATGCTGAAAAAGCAAGCAGTGCGTAGTGTCCAACCCTCACTCAATATATATATTTTATCTGCAGAACAACAGGACCTGCAAACACATCTTGGGATCGCTGGTTCGAGGGACCTCAAGATACGCAAGGTTGCAGATGCTGGATACTCTGATTCAAATTGAAAGGGGAGGTAACATGATCTTTTGTTATTTACACTGTTGACACGATATCAATGGAAGATATGTTGGAAATACAAATCTGTTTCCAGATTGAGCATTATTATGTACTTTGCAGTTTCAGAGATTTTTCCTAGAAATGTTTGTGACATTTTTTCAATTCGTACTAGACTCTTAGCCTCTTAAAGAGTCACATATTTCTCCCTGCAGTGTCGGAGTTGTCTGCCTTACCCATATTTCCTGGGTTTCAATTTTTGTGGTGCTGAATTGACAGAACAAAGATTTTCCAAGTCAGTGATGGTGTTGCTAAATGAATTACCACAATAAACATAACAATAATAATAAACTTGGAATTTTGGCAATTTTCATTTCTCATTTGGGCCTTTAGAATTGTATCAAGTTGGTTTCTTGAGTTGAATTATTCTGGCATGCTTCATTTTGGAAGAAACTACATCAAATTGTTAAGGAATCTTAAAGATGCATTAGTATCTGTTTTAATGCAGTAGTCTTTTTTATGCCACACAACCAAGCATTGTTGCTGAAAATAATGTCTACTGTGTTTGGCCTTTAATCCATTTGAGACATCATGGTGGCTGTATGCAAGAATCCATCTGGTAAACCAGTAAGTCAACATAATATTTCACCAGAGCATGCATTTTTTGGGCAAATGAGCTTGCATCAATCTCAATAACACACTATTTGAGAGGTCTGAGCAGCATGACTATGTTGTTGTGTTCAGTTTTTCATGCTTTAATTTCCCAAACATGCCACAAAGTTTAGGCCATGTGTTCTGGATGCTGATGTAACAAGATGCAAAAGTTTCTCTCTCAAAAAATAAAGAGAAGATTCCTGGCTTCATGTAGCATCAACAGAGTGAGCATTACATAGATAATACATGAATTTTGCTCAATAATTAGGATTAACATTCATGAGTTGATGTCACTGTCCATAAAGGGCATGCTGTCTGATAATATTTGGAGCACATTTCTTTGACTTCTAGTGTAGGCAGCCCATTTTAATTCTTGTCGCCAAACTAACAGCACATTTTGGAAAGTTTGCTGGCAAAGTTTAAATACTAAAATGAACTTATAAGTCATTGAGAACTCACTTTTTCACTGTGCCCTGTTCTTATTTTTCTTCACCACACTGTTCTAAAGCACCAAATGATCCATAAACACAATCATGCATGGACAACAAAGATGGTGTATGCAAAAGATGTTGAATGCATAACAAATAATAAAATGAAGGCATTTCAAATGCCCAAATCTGCTATTGAGGAGGTCAAATGTATGCAAGGCAGCTGTTACAATGACTTAGAAAGCTCGAGTTTAACCATATTACAAGAGATGATACAAAAGTTTTGCAAAACGTAAAAGATAATATACAAGATTCAGATTCTTAACCAAAATAAGAGATTCACAGGAGTAAGATTATGGTTTCATAATTATGTGGCAAACAGCATTAATCTTTCCAACAGATACTAGACATAACTGCTTCTAAACAGTCTAAAATCCTCCAAATAATATAACTCAGCTGAAAAAATAAATATCAGAAGCACCACAATTGCTCTTATTTCATAATTACAACAGCATTGATTCTGTTTAAAATCAGAAAATGATAAGCTATTGCAAAAAGAAGTGCATAATGCATTGAGAAAAATTTACATATATATTACAAAATGAGAATAGAAGAAATGCTTTAAAGAAACTCCAGCATTCTTGTTGGCTAATGTTATCAATTCCTTCCTTAGTAATAGATCGCAACTATGTAAATTCTAATTCTCGAGACAAGCTCTGCAGAAGGTTAGACATATACCTTAAGAACCATATGATGCTGAACAAAGAACTTAAGCAGATAATAGGTGCCTCAAGTGAAGCAAATGTTCTTCATTAGAGATATTGAGAGAGAGACGAAGATTTGTTAGTAGTGATTCCTGCTCCCAACTCAATGGACCAGAGGCATGCAAAGCTTTCACAGTAGATTGGTATGCATATAGCTCTAGTTCATGGACATTAGCAGTCAATTCATCCCCAAATTCAGTTTCGTACTCTTTTCCTCCTCCTAATGGACATGACGACATGGCATCACCCAAACTATCAAATGCAGTATCCTCAGAGTGTTTTTTGAGGTTTTGAGAAGTATGACCTGGATACTCTTTACCACTACAACTAGCAACAGAGCATCCATTATTGTCTTCACTAACTGCCAAAGGCATCGAAGATGAATTCAAAGCATGATTGTATATATACCCCTCATCAGCATTTATCTGACGACACATAGCTAGTCTGTCTTTACTGGATTCATGGAGGAAATATTTAGTAACATTATCTTTCGAGAAAGAAACTACTTCTACCTTTTTAGACAGTGCTCTTTTAGTCGACTTGTGAGATCTATCTGTGCTGGATTTCCTTTTCCAGCCTCTTTCCCTAACCAAATCAACAGGTGAGAAGTCACATCGGGCGTTGAGATTCCTCTTTGCAGATTTAATAGGAGAACTGCAGCCAACATCCTTTTGCTTAGATCTCCATCCAGTTGAACCTTGTTTGCCAATGACTTGACTTGAACCACAAACCAAATTTCTTGCAGTATCAGAGTTAGGTTGGATGTAATCATAGCCAAATTGCTTCCCTAAAATTTGCTGAAGGGGCAAGAACCATTAATCAGATATCTACAAAATACATCTAAAAATAGTAAAAAGTAAATCATCTGCAGTCATAAGAAGCATCAAAACAAGGAATCCCAAGTCATTTATTATTATTATTTTTCATAATTTCATAATAACTGTCTGAATTGTTCATTCCACTCATGTGATGGATGAACTTATATAAGACTCTACTTAAAAGAGTATAGCAAGACATTTCTTGAGGTCTCCAAAAAGTTACATGTTGAATAAAGCATAACATCAAATTTAAGAAAAAGAATTTTATGTTTAGTATGAAATCTAAGCATAACATAATCTGATGCAGCTTGCAGAAAGTTACAAAATAGCATGAAGCATAACAGGTGCCAAAAAAGACTACAGTTTAACAATAACCGATATACAAGTGATCAGCAACTTCTTCAATGCCATAATTGGCACTCGTACCACACATGAATTAACATTATCTTTTAGAAGTAAGCAACAATCAGTGGATCAACGTTCGTTTTACACCACATAAGAGCTTTTGACTAATGACTATTATCATATGACAAACTAGAAGAATGTTTATACATGACATGATTAATACTTTTAAGGATCACCATGAAGTTTTGCCTTCAATTTTCTTCCAGCATTAAGCAATCAAACAAGATTTTGTCCCCACCTTCTTGTGCCATACAAGCAGGAAGCTTCAAACACATAAATAATCTATAAGAAGCTACCGACCAAGAAAATGACTGCTTTACGCATTACTATGAACTGACAAGATCTAGCTAATGATTAATTAAAGCAACAAGAACCAGGAAAGTATACCTATGGTACTAAAGTAAAATTGTACTGTGAATATGAACAAGCAAGCAACAAAAAAGTCAAAGACGAAATTTTAAATGCAAACCTTGCTGAATGTAACACAATGTATATAAGGATAGTTCTTTACACATTTGTCCTGGATATTGTGCACAACATTGTGATTTAATATGGCTAGAAAACCAAAGAGACAGCTAAGGATATATGATCAGCAATAAATAGCATGACATGAAGATAATTTAATCTAAATGCCTCTCAGGAATAGAAAGATAAGCAATACAACATATCCTATAAATTTTCCAGCACAACTTAAGAGTTGAACTCACACAAACAAACTATAGCAATTGACAAATGAAAGAAGAATCTTTCAGCAATTTCAGCATAAAACTTTGTAGCCATTTAAATCAAAACTGTAACCATAACAAAATCATACCAAAAGGACCAAGGAGACAGTTATAACAGATGAAGCAGAAAACTGGGAATGAAAAAGGAGAATGGGAAACAAAGCATCAGCCTTTTACCTTGTCAGTCATAATCCATTTGTTGCTCTGCCAAGCTTGTGGTACTCTTAGATCAGACAAACAATGTTCTTTAAGTTGGATGGAGTCATAGAGTTTGATTACTACGCGATTATTTTCTAGAACTTTGACAACCTTCCCAATCGTCCAGGAGCAGACATCAAGGACCTCAGCTATGTCGCCAACAACCCAATGCGCTTTGTGATTCAGTGGCGGTGGGCATGGCCTAACATCTTCCTCATGTACTGTTTCTACCACAGGCTTCTCATCGGAAGTCAGAAATAGCTCATAACTTACAGTATACTCGTATCCATGTACATATGAAATTATAGCAGGGAACCAAGAACTACACTGCTTCTCTTTTCTTCTCAAAACCTCTACCGTATTCCCTTTTTTGAACTTCATGATTCTGGTATCCTACATGCCTAACCTTTCTTGACCCTATTACAACAATCAAAAGGTGGCAACCAATAAAATCAATTATTCTGTCCAAACCTTTTGTATCTGAGGAATTTCCAGATGCAGAATGTAGGTTAAAAGCACAGTGCTCACCGATGCTTTGAGAAAGATTCTTTTCTAACCTGATGAAAAGTGCACAAAATGAATCAACTTGTCCAAGCATATCAACGTAATAAACTTTAAAAACAACAGATCTGACTACTAAATATCTATATTGGAACTCGAATCTTGGAATAAATGAAAATTAGCTGTAAGCAAGTATTTTTTTATAAGCCAAAAGAAGCTTGCAACGAGATGAACAGGAGATGTAAATCATTCTTGAAGAACTCAATTGCAAGATGACAAAACAACACATAAATAATCAATAGTTAGAAATACCAAACTCTATTTATAAAAAAGACCCCAACAAGAAACGGATGAGAAGAGGAGGAGGGCGTGAGCTAACATTTAACTACTACAAGAAACCAATACAAGTCCATCCAACAGGAAAGAAGACACCACAAAAAACTTAAAGACCACCCAATAAAAGATCTGTAGCAGCTCCCAGCATAAAATGATCGAAAAAAAAAAATCACAAACGCGAAATAAAATAAAATCACGATTTTTTCGCGAAACCAACCTTCAATTTAAGATTTTGAGAAGGGAAAAAGAACAGCGTCTCGATTCCAACCAAAAGGCACACAAAGATCGGATCTTTTGCACGTTCTTGTATGCTCAAGACCCGAAAAAGATTGAACAATATCGGAGAGAACAATCGGAGACCGACCGAAGGCAGTCGGGAACGGATTGTGATGCGTCTTTTTGGAGCCGGGTCCGCGTATTCTTGGGAAACACTGCGTGCTATTTGTTCATGAGATGGGCAGTTTTGGTCA